ACAAATATTGTGCTAATAAATTTTGTTTTTATATTGTATATTTCCTATTTAATTATAAATTATTTTTTGTCTATTTAGATTGTTTAAAACCCAATTTTAGTTACTTTTAATCCCTTTGCAACATTTTTAACAAAATAATTATTGCAATAACTCTAAAGTCAACTTTATTTTATTTGAAGATGAATATATAAGAAACCAAAAACAAATAAATTGTAGGAAAGTATGAACCGAGAGCGTGAAGGGTGTAAACTATCTTTAAAAAAGAAAGAAATTTTAATGAATTGGACCATTCAATAAAAAAACATTAATGAGCTGAGCGGTTTAATGGGATCTGCAATAATTGTCCTTGAAAATAAACGAAATAACTTTCATGTCTGGTCTATAAATATAAATTTTCCAATTTACCCATTTAAACGAATCAGCATCAAATTAAGGATATCAGCAGACAACTTGTAATATGCAAATTATGAATCTTTCAAACAACAATGGAATCATATTAACGCAGACTATGTAAAGCGGACAACAACAACCAATAGGCAACAGCTAACAGGCACAGCTAACAGGCAACTGCCAACTGCCAGACCGAATTTGAATTACACAAGGGTGAAATATTACACCTGCGGTGAATATTTCATCGTGACCTCATTGGCGACTGGCGGAGTGGAGGGGCAGAAGGCGGCGAACAGGGCAAAGTTCAAATCAAATATACAATTTCTTGCCCGACCAAAAAACCAGAAAAAAGCAATCATTGGCAAACATAGGCGGGGGAGGGGCGTGAGGCAAAAAAGGTGCGAAAGGTAGAGATAAAATATGAGATAAATGTTGAATACATTTAGATTGAGTGCGAAGAGCCGAGGGAGGAGGCAGGGAGGCGTGCGAGATATTATAGCTGGCTGCGCTATATAGGCGCAAATATGCGTATAATCAGCTTATTTACGCATGTTTATTATATGTTTACAAATATTCAATTTGTAGATTTCTGTAAATTGAATTTAAGAGGATAGTAAACAAAATTTGATTTGATTTTTTTTTTTTTTTTTTTTTATGGCGAGCAGCAAACTGTTGGCCAACTTAAAACTGGATCCAAGTGCTTGTTGGCAACACACTTTAAGCTTTAAGCTCAAATTTAATGCAAATTTCCAGTTTTCAGCGCGCCAAATTAACAATTATAAACGTCGACTTCTCATCGTGCAATTTACATAAATTTTCACAACTTTATGCGGCTCAGCCCCGCCGGCCTTCCTCTGTCAACCCTTCACTCAGGGCGCTTTCAACAGCAGCACTCAACCCCATCTCCCTCCCTCTCCCGCGCACTCTTTTACCCATCCTCTCCTTCTCACTCTCGCCGTCTGTCATTCTGTGTGGCCATTGTCCTTGTTGCTCTTGCTTTTGACAGCCTTATTTACCGTGAAAATACAACTTTTTCTTTTCTCTCTGTTATTTGAGCAGCGCCAACTGGCATCACTTTTTCCCCAAGTGGCTTGTTTGCTTATAGAATTTACAATTTTTTTTACA